GTGTGCTATTAACTGAAACAAGTATTTACCTTAGTGTCGATGAAAGTGGTGGATAACTGTTTAATATTAATGTCACACATATTTTTTACCAATGATAATTCTTAGGACAAGTGGGGTTACCCAAATAGGGGGAGGGGTCGATCAGGAATTTGTTTTGATCACTTCCACGATACCAGTTGAAAAATGCCTGCTTGAGTGTGATATTTTTTATCGCAATTTGCGTCCAATAATCGTTCATAACGCACTGCGTGTGAGAAAGACAAGCATTTGCGAAGAGCGAGGTCGTTTTGGAGGCCAGAACGTTTTTTAATGCTCGAAGTGTCATATTTCGAAACTCCATTACGAAACGTATTTCGGTCGAATTGCAACTCTTTACATTAAAGACGCAAGGCATTCGAGAAAAATAAAACAATTGCCACAAATCATACAAGGGGCTCACTAAGAACATCGTGGAAGTGACAAAAGGGATAGAATACTGAGGAAAAAAACAGCGCCATTTTTGATCCGACCCATGCGCACGAAGACAAGCTCGATTTAAACTCTTTGAAGCATTATGCAAAGAGTAGAGCTGCTGAAACATAGACTGTGCCATTGCAGAGCCATTCAGCGCGCGTTCGTCTAAGACAAAACCCGCATCAGAAAGCACCCGAAAAGATGCGTTCGTCGCGCGTCGTAAACGCGACCCGATATAGTCGGCGTGTATGATGGCAGTAAGGGCCCCAGCCGATCTTCCACCGACTATTATGTCGGAAGCACTGTCGAGACCTTTCCGGAGCAACTCGTCTAAAAGAACATCAAGTATTCGGTGACCTCGGAAGTAGAGCAGTCTGTCTTTAAATTTCAATGGTTTATCGCGATTTCCAGTGAAAGACCCACCATCGCAGTATGCCACAAAGACTGAGTTCCAGTTGTAAAAATCGGGGTTGTATTTAGCTTGGTTGGAAAGGAGTCCCTCCAGGAGAATAGTTTTCCGGAAAAATTTGGACGAGCCAAGCGCTGTCACACTTCTTCTATAACATCTCTCGATACGGTAGCACCATCCGCCCCCCTGAAAATATATAATCCACTTCGATTTTCCCGAGCCATTTCCACTGCGAAAATAAAATCCAGGAGGGGTTCCGTCAAAGCAAACTGCACCACTTTCGGGGCCTTTGGCTATAATGTGTAGTTTATGCGTTCTCTCGTCTTCTGCGTCATCGAGAAAGCGCACTGGAAACTCTGTTCCTTGAGAAACATTGGTATGGAAAATCTGTTGCGACAAGTTTTGCTTTACCCTGTCTTTTACCACTCTCAAAAGTTTGATGTCCTTTACGTCGGGGTAACCTCTGTGTCCAGTTTTGATTTGATATTTGTCAATAATGTTCTTGTAGCGGACATCTGTTATCAACCCCTCAATATCAGCCTCCTTGAGTTGCTGGAAATCCCAGTTTGTAGAAAGGGAGGATTCAATAGCTGAAGATGATTCGTAAGTAAATAAGAAGAGGATCAAAGTGATAGGTAGATAAGACATCTCTCTGACAAATG